TTGACTGGGGTGTGTTGTCTCTAAATGTCTTCTTAATTTGTTGGGTCTCATGCTGTCTGCTGCCAGCTGTTTAAGACACAAGACACACATGGGTCCCTCTTCTGCCCCCACCATTCCCACCGTGAATCCAAGCGCAAGATGGGCTTCATCATATTTTCTTTACAGCTGGCTTTTTGGTTGATAAGGCTACTGCCTGTTGTTTCTTTGTCTGCTTGTGCTGAATCGCCTGCTTTTTTTGTGGTCCATGTAACAAATTTATCCATTTACGTTATTATGCCCACTATGTACACTATTGGCCCTCTGTGTGAATGTTTCCTTATATTGTTGCGCTGCAGTTAACATGCCAATGTTAAACCGTTATTGTTGTACTATGGTTCCACTTTTTTCTCCCGGGCCCTGAACTGATGTTATTTTAATTTACTTGTATTAACGACCCATTTCTAATTTTCTCCGTTTATTGCGCCCCACCTGTCATGTCTTTATTCCCCACTAGGGGGGCGCGCCCCACACTTTGAGAACCACGGGCTTAATGTCAGCTGGGATTGGCTCAAAAAAACAAAAACAAAAAAACAAAAGGGCCTAAACGTAGTTATCAGTCATTTTCCTAATTATAGTAGAGACATGAACATATTGACCAGCAGTATGTCTGGCATGCGAAAAGTCAGGCTTATGACCAGAAGAATACCATCCCCATGGTCAAGCATGGAGGTGGTTCATTGATGATGTGGGGCTGCTTTTCTGTGGGAGGAACTGGCAAACTTCATTGTGTACCTGGCATCATGGATTCCCAGAAGTACCAGGCAATTTTAAAGAGGAACGTGATGCCTTCTGCTGACTAATTAAACCTTGGTGATCACTGGACCTTCCAGCACGACAGTGATCCCAAGCACACCTTCAAGTCAACCAAAAGTAGGTTGGGGAAAAGATCCTGGACCGGATTTAAATCCAATTGAAAATATTTGGTGGGATTTGAAGAAGGCAGTTGCAGCACGGAAGCCGTCAAACATCACTGAGCTAGAGGCTTTTGCACTTGAAGAATGGGCAAAGGTTCCAATCTAGAGGTGTAAGAAGCTTGTCAGCACTTATCGAAAACGTTTGTTAGAAGTTATAAAAACTAAAGGATGCTCCACAAGGTACTGAAGCTGGGGGTTGAATAATACTGCACATGCTCATGTGTTACAAGGGTTACAATTTCCATTTGAACTTCAAAGTTAAGTCAACTTCTGTAGTCAAAATAACTCAAATATGTATCAATAAATATTTTTTGTTATTTCAAAGGGTTTTTTTGCATTTAATTTCATTATCTTTCATCAACATCGCTATAATGTCTTTTGAGGTGAGGGGGTTAAATATTTCTGATTGCAACTGTAAATATAACTAAATAAAATATACTCTGGAACTGAAATCTTGGTAATGAAACTGAATTTCAAAACTGTAATAACCATACTAATTTGAACACTGTTATGCACCCCTCCCCCCAAAAAACATGTTAACCCTGTAAGGCAATTTTAGGGAAGGCTAGAACATTTTCTATTACACAGTTTTATATGTAGATATACCAAGCGAAAAAAGACATCAGACCAAAAAAAGCTCACACACTCTCAGTGTGTGTCTGGAAAGGGGAGGAGTTAACAGATTATGTCCCGGGTGTGAGGGGTCTGCATTGATCTTCTCTGCCCTCCTTTTGACTCATGACGTGCACAGGTTCTCCATGGAGGGCAGGCTGGCACCAATGATCTTTTCTGCAGTCCTGACTGTCTGCAGGAGTCTGTTCTTGTCCTGTTTGGTACCTGAGCCAAACCAGACAGTGATGGATGAGCAGACTCGATGATTCCTCTGTAGATCTGCATCAGCAGCTCCTGGGGCAGGTTGAACTTCCTGAGCTGACACAGGAAGTACATCCTTTGCTGTGACTTCTTGGTAATGGTCCTGATGTTGGACGTCCACTTCAGGTCCTGGGAGATAGTGGAGCCCAGGAACTTGTAGGACTTTACTGCTGACACAGTGCTGCAAAGTATGGTGAGGGGGCTAAGGTGGTGGGGAGTGGGCTCTTCCTGAAGTCCACTGTTTTGAGCGTGTTCAGGTTGTTGCGGCTACACCACAGGACCAGCTGCTCAAACTCCCCTCTGTAGGCTGACTCGGTGCCGTCTCGGATGTGACCAATGACCATTGTATCATCTGCAAACTTTAGGTGCTTGACAGAGGGGTCCTTCGAGAGATGCAGTCGTTGGTGTAAAGTGAAAACAGCATAGGGGAGAGCAAACATCCCTGGTGGGCACCTGTGCTGATTGTCCAGGCACTGGATGTGGTTTTCCCTAGCTGCACCTGCTGCTTCCTGTCTGTCAAAAAGCTAGTGATCCACTGATTGCGCGTGTCAAGTGATTTACTGGTTTGCTGAGTTCATAACACTGTCAGAAATAATAAACTTAGCTCATAGATCCCATTAGATTTAAAATTAGTCAAGTTAAAAATGATATTAAATGATTGCATAAAACAAACAGCTTTGGTTTGTTTTGAAACTGAAAGCACTTCACTCCATTCCTCACAGTGTGACGATATCATTTAGTTGTGTCAAGCAGTGTCTCCACCACCAGTCTGCTCCTGTGGATGGTTGGTTTACTGCTGGTGTTGAAGCCACTCGGATGATTTCACATCAGTCCAGTGTCCGTTGTAGGAATTTCTACATCCTGCTCTCTGGTAATAACTGTGACTCAGTGTATGTGTGTTGTTTCCATTTTGTTTAAAAACTATTCAGCAGAAATAGTGAAGGCTGGACCTTACTAGTTTTATTTCATTAAATGCAAGCACAGCTCACTCACTGATATTTTTATAAAACTTTTACTGTAACGTGCTTTTCTAAACATAACTGAATCCATTTCCTCAGTAAAACCATGACTAGAAAATGGGTTGACATTGATAAACAGCAGGA